TAGGAATTCCCCTCGTAAGGTCGACCGTGGTATGATGGAGAGCCATAGCGCTGCGGGGAGAGGGAAAAAGCGATAGAGCACGTCTTATGCGAGAGGGCGCAGACGAAGTATGGTGCCTTTGATAAGAAACGGTCAAGCAAACGCATTAGCTCCCTCGTCGAGCACTTTCAGTCGCGACAGTACCACCACTCCTGTGGTTAGCGGTCCTGCTACCTCACTAATGTAGAGATTTCCTCTGGAGTCCAATCGCGACCCGTGTATCTGACAAGAGGTGTTCAAGGTCTTCCACTTCTTCTCCCTAGCGTTAGTCCCGCGCAGTCGCAGGGTCCGCTGTTTTTATCAGTCGTCGCCACTTTGCTCTGTCCAGGGCATCTTCTGCTGTGGCCGTGACTTCACTTAGGTCCTTCTTGATACGTCCTTCCACCTCTTCTTTGGGGCTCCTCGCGGTCGCTTGCCTTGCGCTTCGAAGTCCATTGCTTCCTTATTGGGTGGTCCTCCTTAGCACGTGCCCATACCATCGCAGACGCTGTTCCCGTACCTTCAGCTGGACAGGGGCAGTCTGCATGACCGCTCTGACATCCTCGTTCCTGACCCTGTCCAGTCGCGTCCAGCCGCAGGCCCACCTCAGCATCCTCATGTCAGCGGAGTGAAGCTGCTAACCAGCACTCGCTGGCATCGCATTCCTTACCACTGCCCAGTACACCCTTCCGTTGACAGTTACGAAACAGATTTTCCTCCACCCTTTTGAAGGTTTCTCCATGGTCGCCCACAATTGGTTCTGTTCCCTTTTCAAAACTCAGACATTTGGTCTTCTTAACATTCAGCCTTCTGTCGGCACTGCCTGTAGTTCTTCTCTGCTTACTATCAGGGCGATGTCGTCAGCGTAGAGGATGGTCTTTAGTGGTCCTTCCATGAGCCCCTTCACCATGACATCTAGTGTTAGGAGGAAGAGGAACGGGCTCAGAGCTGACCCTTGGTGCACCCCAACCGTGATGTCCACCTCCTTCGTTAGGCCGTGTGGGGTGCGTATGGCTGCCTTAGACGGTCGAATGCCTTCTCCAGGCTTAGAAGACTAGTTAGCTCGTTCCTTTAACTTAGGAAGACTAGGTAGCAGGGTCGTTCCTTTTCTCTACTCTTCTCTATCACTTGTCGAGCGATGAAAATGCCCCCGTTGTGGATCTTTAGGCAAGAACTCAACGAACCTTCGTGGGAGGTCGGGACCAGCTCCTGCAGCTTCGAGTCGACCAGTCGCTCGTACAGCTTCATTGTATGAGCATTAAATTTTGATCCCGCTATAGTTGGAGCAGTGATCGCGTCACCCTTGTGTTTTGATAATTGGGAACGAGTAGTTACTTGCTCTCCAGAAAGCAACCTGGGATTCTCCTTGCGAGTGTAGGGTCGCATTCAGGAAACGGATGAGCGATTTACGTTCGAGCTCGAATTTTCATGTCTGCATCGGAATCTATCATACCAACCAGCTTCCCTGCCTTCATCTTCCTTATTCCTCGACGAACCCCATCCTGAGATGGGATCAACCATCGCATCAGCTTTCGAGCTGGACCCCCTGAAAGAGGTATTCTCACCTCCTCTTGACGTCGGCTGGTTTCACACCATATAGCTGCTCCGCAGACTTAATTTGCACTGATATCTGAGTACACGAATGCTCTGCATAGCCAGACGTGAATAACGAATTTTTCATGGCATTATGCTCTTTAGTTATTCGTGCAAGGTCGTCATTTTCTAGTTTCAACGCTGGCTCAAGTAAGCTCTTCGCAGTCTTGTTGTTCAGTTATGTAAACAGCGGAGGCTCACGTGGTGAGTACCTTACTAGCAGCGCTACTATGCTGATTCTTGTTCACGATCGCTTATACTTCTCATTCCGAACCACGCGCCGCTGCTCAGGGTTAGCACCATTGGGTACGGGTCCTGCGCCTTTTCCGTGGTGTACAAAACTTAGTTTTATCATGATACATTTGGCCACTTCAAACATTGTGGGGGTGATGGGGTCCTCAGAGGGTTTTTGTGTGACAGTTAGAGAGACGTATTTTTGCCCGAATTGAAGTCACAATCCAGGCAGAAATCTCACGAACGATTCCCTTCAGTTCAGTAGGATAGATCCCCTGGAGGACATTCATAGATGTGGCATTTTCTCGTGCATGAAAAGCACCAGACAATAGTTCAGAGCTTGCAAAAAAAGGCTGTGGAGCTGTCCAACTTTTCCTCCATCTTCGGCTGTTGGAGCTCTTCATCTGTACCGCTCGCTCGCCTCACCGATCCTCTTCGACGTTTATGGAGTCTCTCACTGCTTAGCACAGCCTATTGCAGAGGCTTGTAAGCCCTTATCCTAAAGCGTTTTCGATGATTTCTTTCCCTTTTTTGCTGGCGGCCACTACGCACCAATACAGTCGCTCGTGTGCAGGAACCACACAATTCCATCTTGGGGTATGCCTTTAAGTGCAATGCAGTTTCGCTGCCTGCTAAATTCATTATATTAGGTAACAAGTTATTATCTGCCCTAACTCATGGTCAGAACAGCCGTTTTTAGGGGTGCCTTGATGCTTTTGAAACGCACTGTAGGTCAATAAGCATTTCGGTTGAATATTCAATAATTCATACCCTGAGTTTGAACGATAGGGAAAGCTCATGATTTTTCCTTGTAAGGTCGGAAAACGACAAAGCGATCCACAGCGACCGAACTCGACCCGAATGACTTGTGATCTGTTCTTTACTGTAGTGATCTAGCGACAGTTAAGACGTACTTCCCGCCATAAAAAGTCTTATCAGGCCAAAATGCGTCACCAGCTATCCACGGTACAAATACTGGCGCGATAGGGTTACCGCCACACCCGTACGTTATCACAAATCAACACCTACAAGCACCGTTGTCCCTTTGTTCTCTCGTAATCGCAAAGGTGGAAGTGATAGACTTCGGTGTGGAGTCTAGATTCTCAGATACCTTATTAACATACACCTCTTCCTATGGCTTACTCATCTAAGCTCTTGCTTTATCTAAGCTCTGAGTTTACACGCCTCGCAGAAATTTGTGATTTGTTCTTGTCTTTCTGAAGGGAACAAAGTGAAGGGTGATTGAAGGTGACTGCGGAGCCTTTCATAATTAGCCTTCAAGGTTGGAAACCATCAAAATAACTGATTTACAACTTGGTCGAGTACGCAGCCCATTGTATCCTGCATCTACAGCCTGCAAAACTTTCACTTACATGGCGTATCCTTAATGATTAACCAGCTCCGAGTACTTCATTATTATTTTGTGATCTGTTTGATTCAAATACATATTACGTGATAGCAACCGCGAACCTCGGCATTCATTACCTATGGGGAGGAAGGATGAGTCTTTCAGAATGCGGTTCACCATTCTCTTGGCCCTGGTTGGGCTCGCCGCTGCTGCCGTTCATCAGCATCCACTAATGTGGCGAAAGTCGAGGAAGGTGCGTCTGGTGGATGCGATCATCCGTCTGTGATTAATTTGAATTATTGATTGAGCTGGAACGATTCCTTTGTGTTCAGATCCAAATGATTGAGCGAGGAGAATATGCAGCTTACGTCGAGTACCGCAACTCTCTACGGGCTACGAATCTCGCCAGTCTAGGACAATCGGTAAGCAGGACATCGAAAATTAGTGTTC